CACACACACACACACACACTCACACTCACACAAACATACAAACACACGCAGGCTTACAATCACATGCATAATATAAATAAGCAGCAATATAAACAATAATAATCTTAAGCTAGACACATACTCAATGTTATTCTGATGCATGCTATAAGGTCATATTATGAATACTTATAACAAGATGGTTAAGATAGAAGAATTTTGACGGATGATAAACACTATAATTTGAGAGACATGTCAAGCTTTATCCAGTGGAAAGTAAAACATGTTGGATTTTAGAGGAAAATTTAAAAATGCTCTCGTTTTTTTTTTCTTTTGTTGTGTTTATAGATTTTTTTTTTATACTTGTTTTTGTTAGATTTTATTCTAATTTTTGTTGCTATCGCTGTGCAGATGCTGTCATCGCAAAATGGAGCCATGAGCAGCGATAGGAGAAAAGTTGAATAGGCTAAATTCAAATAAACCATTTTATGAGGCAGTATCTTCCAACTCAAAAAAAAATACAACATCGAGTAACCATTTCAGTAACAACAGAGAAAACAGCAATATCAATCAACATAAACCATTGCGTGGGGTAGTATCTTCCGGTTTTACAAATTAAGAACACCAGGTAACCAATTCAACAAAAACAGAAACAACAACAACAACATAATTCTTCAACAAAAACAAAAAAACAGAAACAATGAACGACAGCAACGATATCAATGGCAATGACAACCACAACCACTGCTACAACATCGACGAAGACGACGACAACGACAACGACAACGACAACGATAACAACAACCACAACAACGACAACAACAACAACAACAACAACAACGACGACGACGACGACGACAACAACCACAACAATGACACTGCTAGACACCCACCTGACAAGCTGTAAGTGATGTCGGCACCAGCATCCCCGTCAGAGGCCACCACGGTTATCACGGTGTCTCTAAACGAAGCACTCTCAGACACAGTTGCCTCGTAAAATACCTGAACGCAAAAATGCCACCGTTTATTTTATTTATTGGGCTGGTGCATTCACTAATATAAGTGAGGAAATGTTACCCCGCACTCAGAAAATGTTTATTCGCCAGTGCAAACGAGAATTAAGAACACCGGATAACCAATTCAACAAAAACAAATGTTTAAATGTGTATATGTACTCACACGTAAAAGCGAAAATGCATTGTCCCCTTAATGTTTATTAGCCACTACAAGCAAAAATACATTATCCCCTAAATGTTTATTCGCCAGGCAAAGTGAGAATGCAGTATCCCCAGAAATCTTTTCTAGCCAACACAGAAAGCCCATGGTTACGCATGGAATATGTTGGGGTTCCCTTTTCAAGTGAAATCGAGCGATCGGCATGCTCGATGCGTTTCTGCTGTTGCCAGGACATTCAACGTCAGTTTTTCTCCTCTCCCCCCCCCCCCCCCCTTGCCCCTTTTCACACTCAAAAATAAGAAATCAAATACCTGTGAGTAAACTCTGAAAACAAAACAACAACAGCAACAAATCTTGACCAACCTGTGCAAAAGTGGGAGTTCGGTCGTTTAAGTCATTGACGTTGACAGTCACGTCTATGAGTGAATTGTTTACTACCTTGTTGGAGGAATAGACAAACACTTTACATGTGATGGTTGCGCTTGTCTCGAAGTCGATAGTATCTTTGACGATCAATGCCCCTGTAAAGTGATTTTGGAAGTCAATTAGTTAGATGTTTATTTTCCCTTGACGAAATTCAGGGAAAGTTTCGTGTTGTAAACTTCGTTAGAGAAATTCAGTATGAAATGGTCACCTTTCAACAGAAATGGTTTATGGCAACAGAAACGATGAAAAAAAAAATATATATATATATATCGGACCGCATCAGCGCACCCTTAACTCCCGACTTTTTCAAAACAAACAGCCTGGTTATTCTAGTTTTGATTTTTCTGGATGGTACTAGATAGGCACTGAAATTTATAAACTCATTGTAATCTGTTATATTTGCTTGTTATTTATGCTTATGTTATTTATTGACAGCAAAGAGAACGACGCCTAGGGCAATATTCCCATGCTCTAATTTGGCGTGGTGTGATATGGTTGTAACACCCTTGTAAACACAAAATAGTCGGAAACGTGACTTTCAAATTCAGAGTTTAACTCCGATTGGACCAGGCTAGGTTGTTATAGAGCCTGAAAAACTCACAAAACACAATTGAGAAGACCATACAATTAAGATTCGAACCAGGATCAGGAGCGAAATAGTCAAACAATATACCCACTGAGTCATTCCCACAACTTAATCGACAGAAAAGAAAAATCACGAACGCCCCATTAACACAATTTGATTTAGAACATTCCAATTAAAAGGCCCAGCTCTATCATGCTTGTCAGGGCCAACACGGACTGAGAGGGATACAATGCCCAAGCAGAAAGACCGAGTCACCTAAAAATATATTTTTAAAAATGTTCCCCTTAAGGGAAATGAACTTGCGCCTTCTGCGTGCGACAGCAAACTACCTGACAACTACTCCGCAGATGTTGGCCCCCCAAAAAAAACCAAGTAAATAAGAAAAAAAGTAACCAGTGCTGGTGTCGATGGTGATCCAATCCGGCGTGGGGCCAATCTCAAAGCCGTAGGTGACCTTGGCATTGTCTGTTCCCGAGGGGTCCAGATCCGTCGTAAGGAACGTGTGTATTGTGGTACCCAAAGGCACATTTTCGTCCACACCTGAGGATGAAGAAGGAAAAGTCCTTCTTGTTCAAAACTTAACTTCTCACTAACTAACCCACCGAAAAGTAAACAGCGCGCTGTGGCACATAATAGATAGATAGATAGATAGATAGATAGATAGATAGATAGATAGATAGATAGATAGTATACATTGTAGACATAACTATTATACATATATAGCTCAATTGTATTATAGACGTAATGCATTTATGCTTTCATACATCTTGCAGGCTTATCAATACACAATGCAATATGCTAAATCAATTTTTATCTGGAAAATTTGCATGCTATGTAGATGTCTGGACTGAGGGTTGTTTTTTCCCTTATTTGTTTTTTTCTTGGTGAAAATGGTATAGATCTAGGTCTAACGCCCCTATCAACACTGTTAGGTTATTTAAGGGTGTGAGGGGGGCTACACCTGAAGGCCATCTCGCTTATCAGAGGATAAAATGTTACCAAACTCCACACATATAACAAGCATAGTGAGGAGTCTTAAAATCTGGAATCACATTTGAGAAAAAAAGTTTCGTTGTCGTGGTGACGGCGCCCAATGTTGGATTTGTTGACATGTCTTACGTAATGAATACCGCACTAAGTCTGATTTTTCATGGAAATAGGTTGGGTTTTTTGTAGTCTTTTTTTTTTTTGCATGCATGTTAACAGAAAATAGATCTACAAATTTTTCTGTTGAATTTTTCCAAACCGATATAGAAAATTTGTATTAGTTTTTTCCTGGGTTAGTAGTCAAGTTTGCAAAATAATCTGTGGAAACCCGTACTCCAGACACCACTAACAAAAAGCAATGCGATATATCGAAAATGTAACCGAACATTAATTATTGTTACGTCTTCTCTTCATGTTGTGAAAAATTTCTTGGAGATTGGCTAAAAAATGGAGTTATTCAAATAGGTATAAAATGGAAAAGTCGCGTTTTAAGAAAACGGGCGATAAAGATAATCAAAGATTGACTGTATGAGGAACTGGTGGTGATTAACATGCAAGATATGTACATAAATCAGGTTTTAGAGGGTTCTAATGCTAGGAAATTGTTGTAAAAGAGGCTGAAGAAGCCAAAAATGATTACATCTCAAAATCCATGATTTTGACCCCTGATCGGAACATTCAGGGTGTACCCCGT